GCGAGTGTGAATATGATATGCCTTGGTGATTTTCTTTTGGGGTCTCTTCTTTATGGGGTTCGTTGAGCTTCTTGGATGGCCATCTTTTCATCTTTCATGACATTGGGGAAGTTTTCTGTCAGCAGTTCCTCAGTGATCCTCTCTGTGTTTTCTGTTTTCTCCCCCTGTTCAGGAATTCCAATTACTCGTAAATTTTTGCTTTTAATTGTATCCCGCATAACTCTCAGGGTCTCTTCATTTTTGTTTGTTCTTTTTTTCTGAGTTTTTCTCAAACAGAGTTGTATCCAAGTGTTTGTCTTCAATTCCACTGATCCTGTCTTCCACCGTTTCAGATCTGCTTCTCAGCCCTTCTGTGACATCATCCATTTCTGAAATCTTGTTGTTTATCTTTTGGATTTCTAATTGTTGTTTTTGTGTAATTTCTAGTTGTGAATTTGTTTTGGCATTTTGTTCCTACATCATCTTCCTGACTTCTTCCAATTTTTTGTCTGTATTTTCCATGAATTTGTCTATTTTTTCCTCATGTTTGTCAGCTTTTTGCTTCAGTTCTTGGAGAATTCAGAGTATTAGAGATTTGAATTCCCTATCAGGTAGTTCTAGTGCATTTTCTTTCACAAGAGAGTCATCTGTGTTTTATTTTGGACGCCTACTGGAACCATCCTGTCCTGTTTTTGTAGATGTTTTGATATTGTCTGCTGTCTTCTGGGCATTCAGTAGTTATTTTTCTCGTTTATTGATTGTAGATTTGTTTGTTTCATCCCTTTTTTTAAAAAAAATATTTGACTATGTCTGAGCAGACGGACTGTGTGTTCTTTGTTGTTTGCTCGTCTTTGGGCACAATACTTTTCGCCTCCTTCTCCAACTGGCAGGGTCAGTCACTCAGATATGGTACAGCAAGGCAGGTCTAGCTGAAGAGGAGTTACTGGGACGGGTTTTTTGTGGCACTTACTACAGCCACTAGGGCGGGTCGGTAGTCAGTGCAGGGCAGGTTCCAGTAGGCTGTGCCTGTGCTGCTTGGTGGTGTGATGTCAAGCGCACGGTGCAGGTAGGCAGGATGCATCGGGGAGATTGTTATGTGTGGAGCCAAGATGGATATGGGAGAGAGGGGAGAGGAATAGGAGCCAAAAACATACAAACAAACAAAAAAGAATGCTAGGGGAGCTTGCTGTTGGAGTGGACAGATGAGAGACTATGAAATGGAGAAAAACAGAAGGGGGAAGAGGAAGAAAAGAAAAGAATGAATACATAAAGATCAGAAAGGTTAAAGAACTGCAAAGTTCCCAGAGATCCCACCGATGCAGCTATGAGGTCTGGGGAAGTCGCTCTAAGGTGTTGTTGCAGTACAGCCTGGCTAGAAGGCGTAGAGGTATACAACAACAGGTATTCAGGGATCAGAAAGAGAAGGAAGATATAGAGAGACTAGAAACTGAGCAATGAAGAAAGACAAAAAGGGAAAAAGAGGGAAAAGAAAACATAACAAATTTAAAAGAAAAAAAAAAAGAACAAGAAAGGCCCCCAAAAAAAACAGAAAAAAAAAAACAAAACAATGAAAAAAGTGCTCTCAGGGATCCCTCTGCACGTATGTGGAAGCTGAAGGGGGGTTCCTTGCCATGCAGCTTCGCCTGGCCAGAAGGGGCTCCCAACTCAAGGAAAAGAAAACAAACAAACAATTCAAAACGAACAAACGAACAAAAGCCCCAGGATCCCACCAGTGCGGTAGCCCAGACCGGGAAGCAGCTCCACACTCGAATGGAGCTCTGCAGCCCCTCAGGAAGAAGCAAAGATGGCGCACGGAGCCAGGCACTCGAGCGAAAGGCGGGGGAGGCAGCGAGAGGCAAGCAAGAAATCAAAAGAAGCAGGAAAAAAAAAGCAACACTAGCAAGCCAACAAATGGCACCCAGACAGCCGCCCACTTGGGTGTGTGGAATCCAAGCAGCCGGCGTTTCCTGGTCAAGAGACTGTGGCCACGGGACGCAGAGGAGGCTGAGCAGGGCTGAAGAGGGGTGGGGTGTGGGAAAGCGCACACTGCAAATTACCGGTTGTTTTGTCTGCTGCTGGACGCTCCGTGAGGCTGCTTTCTCGTATCCCCGTTTGCTGGTCTCCGATAGGAGTCCAAGATGGTGGATCCACGCTGCGTTAGCTGGTAGGGGACCTCTGCATGAATCTCTCCTTGCTCTCCGTTCTCTGTCAGTTTTCTCACTCCATTTGGTGTTTGGCTGAATTCTTCATCTGTTCATTTGGTGTTTTAGGGTTTCAGGATTGTTGTATTCTCTGTTTGGTTTAGTTTTTTGGATCTTTGTTGTGGAGGGACGGCGTGGTGCTTCTGCCTAGAGCGCCATTTTGCCGGAACTCCCTGTGCTGGTAAATTTTTAACAGCCAACTCTCCGAATAATGATGGATGGATGCATGGATGAATGGATGGTTGGACGGACGGATGGATGGAGGGATGCCCTGATTGTATTGTGCTGACATTGTATTTAATTTTTGATTTCAAGTTACCAATGTGAGGTCACTGAACAAGAATGCACACAATTTTGTTTCATAACAGGACATAATTTATTCTGATTCTCAGGCTGGTTGAATCTTTTCTTTTGAAGTTCTGAAATATTTTAATAGGTCCTGGGACTTTTCTCTGTGTACTTATCCTTACAGATGGAAGCCTGCACCTGTAGAGATTTCAGCATCAAGGTGGGTTCTGTCAGAGGTTGCGCAGGGCCCTGTCCACGTTTTGGTCCTGAATAGAGAAGAAAAGGAGAAAGTTACACAACCCAGTGATGGTATTTGCTAGAGTAGAGGCATAGCTATTGGTGAGAGGCATGGAAGGTGCTTACGGTGAGGCCTCATGACGAGAAAGGCCCTGTTGGGCTGACTGTAGGGTTTCTTTTTGAGGCTGGTTGCTTGATCTCACAGTCAGCTGGGGCCATGCTCCATTCTCCTAACTGGCATGACTATCCATGTTTGGCGCTTCAGCAATGCCTGGCACCATGCATGCCAGGCAAGGGCCTGGATGGCCTGTTTTGGCCTGCTGCTGGCAGAACTTGCTGATAGGGCTGACAGTGGCCCCCTTTGGGAGCAGGACCCTTGGCCTCATCTCCTCTGGACCTGAGAGGTACTGAGCCAGGTCAGAGTTCCGGCTTCCTGCAGAAACCAGTGAGTGAGCCACCTCTGATTTAATTGGGGCACTGCTGTGATGGCTGGCATTTGAAATCTTCTGTGGCAATGCCCTCTCTTCACTTAATGTGCCATTGCCCTGAGTGTACGCTGAAGGTGTGCCCCATGATACTTCTTGTCCTTGCCCACAGCTGGCACTGCTCTGAGCTGAGCAGTGTTCTGAGGTCATCCTGGGTGGTCCCATCTACTTTCTGGCCAAACAGGCTTTTCCTTCTCTTGCATTGGTTCATGGCAAGATCATGCCGCCTTCTATTCTGCACTACATCTTATGAAAAAGATTCACAGTTTCTGGTAAATTGATGCTCCCTCCTCTCCTTTGTTCAGGGATGAACTGGATTCTTGTTTCTTTAATAATTTCTTTGTTTCAATGGGAATTTGGTAGGGAAGTTAAATAACTCGACTCAAATCAATGTTTGAATCAGAAGACCAAAATGGCACCTTGACTGTAGTAATTCTGGGTACTGTGTATCGCAGTGATACAGCCCTGTTGAAGTGCAGACAAAAGTCTTCTTAAAAAGTTATCGATCAGTATCTGGCAACTGAGATGCAAGCAGTTCAGAACACTCTTCTGCTGATTGCTGGGGGCCATGATAGTTTTCTGGGAAGGCCCAGGAAGTTGTTAATGGTAGTTCTGAAGCATAGACAAGGGGAAAGTTGTAAAAGTACTTTTTCTTTTTAGAGTAAAGGTGGGAAGACATTTGAAAGAGAACATAAAACCAGTTGCCATTTAGTCAATTCTGACTCATGGCAACCCAATGTGTGTCAGAGTAGAACTGCGCTCCAGTGGCTGATTTTTTGGAGGTAGATTGCCAGGCCTTTCTTCCAAGATGCCTCTGGGTGGACTTGAACCTCCAGCCTTTCGGTTAGCAGTCAGGTTTGTTAACCATATGCACCACCCAGGAACTCTGAAGGACAGAATACTCAGTATTATCATTATTGTGTGTGATGGTCTGGACTTGTATTATTGCATAATGTTCCTGGATTTGTCACAAATTTGCTGCAGTAAGGCTGTGAAACTTGGAAATGAGAATTTTAAGAATGGACGTTTGAGCATCTCTAAAACAGTGTTTTCTCAAAGTGTTGTCTGTGGACCTCCTGCAGTGGGATTCTCAGTGGGAATGGACTTGTTAAAAATTCAGAATCTTGCTCCAGACCTATTGAAGTAGAATTTCCTGGGATGAGGCCTGGAAATCTATTTTTGACTCTCCCACCCTCTTTCCCCCCATGATTCTGTACATGCTCAAATTGGAGACCCACTGTTACAGATGACTTGTTCTTGTTTTGGGTTGCTGTTCTCTGCAAACTCCTCCCCCCCCCTTTGGTTTTGGGTTGCTGTTCTCTGCAAACTTCTCGCCCCCCTTTGGTTTTGCTTACATTGCCCTCTGATGTAAAAATTGATGAAATTTCCCCCTTTTTTGCCATTCATTTCTGCCTCTTTTGTTTTAAACTCCAGATTATTATTTCATGAGTTGCTTTTTCATTTCTGGATTTCTAACTCGGAACTTTTAATTTTTCCCACAGAGCTGAGAAAACAGAAGTCCTCAGTGAAGATCTGTTACAGGTAACCAAATATAATCTTTTTAAAATGCTCTGTTTAAAGACATATAAAGAGAGGGGGAAAAACCCCCATAGATGAGAATTGAAGCTTGTATTTTTTGCCTGGAACAATAAAATTGACTAGCATGGTTTTGAGCAGGAAAGAAAAGCAATTGAGTTGCAGGGGGATTTTAAAAAAAGGGATCTGAAACTTCGGTGTCATGTTAAGAAGTTCAGATAGGGCTATTCCAGCAACTCAAGTGCCAGGTGTTGGGGTGGGCTGGGGGTGGGACCAGGGCAGCCTGGTCTGTCCACTGGCACTGTGGCTTGGTCACGTGTCCTGGGTAGGCTGACCGACTCGAGACTGCTGCTGTGATGCTGTCCTTGATGGGACAGAACCCTGCCAACTGGAGCCCAGGGCCCCACCAGCTCTAACCTATATCTTCAGGTTCTCACCGCCCCCCCCCCCCCATGCTATTATTCTCCAAGGTATGACTCTGGGCCGAGTTGAGTCCTGAGAGACTTCTGGTCCCAGTGACCATGAGCAGATCTGTCAGAACTACCCTGAGGCCCTGAGGGACCTCCAGTCATCAGCCCAGGCTTTTTTCCCTCCCTGTAAGGACGTTTCCTACCACAGGTCCCTGACCACTCTGCTTCCCAGCCTCTCCAGTCTGTCTCTCAATAGGTTTCCCTGACTTTGGGGCCACTGGGAATTTCTCCCAGAAGGCCTTGGACCCTTTATGCAAGTCACTTCACAACCCCTACCCACCCCCACACACACATATACTTACCAGACTACTTAGGGAAGGGCAAAACGTCTTCTGGCACAGAAGTTTCTATTGAACAGTCTTACCTGTCTACTTGCCTTTCATTTGCATAACCTGGAGCAGGTCTACTCAGGTGAGTCCCTGAAGGACAAACATCTGCTCCCAGGTGACTTAGGTGACTTTCTGTCTTTTCCTATGGAGAGAAGAAGCTGGCATATCTTATCCAATTGCTCCTTCCACCATATCATGCTAAGACAGCGTTCTAAGTTATAACAACCTTCTGCAGGTAGAATGTTTTAAGAAAATTTTTTTCTTTTACTTGTTTGAGTTTTTTATTTTTTGAGGAATAGAAATTTTTATTAAGGAATAGAAGTTTGTTTTTAAGATTATTAAAGAATCACCCTTAACAGCCCTTCTTACTTGGTTTTTATCGTATATTTCAAATTCATTTTCAGACTTTCAGAAATACTATTTGATCTCATCAAGCTTTAACTGAGCTAGACTTTGTCACACCAGTATTCTCTTTCACATCCCACCTCAGTAATATGCATTATCTCATTGCATCCTTGAAAACCTAAGATGAGGACCAGGGGACCTTGCAGGTACTTTGAGGGTGGCAGAATTCCCAAGGGACTCGGGTAGCAACTGTCCGTTCTGGTTTTATTTGTCCAAACATCCATTGAGGTCTGAAGTCAATTTCTGGAACTCTTTATTTTATGGTTTTTAAATTATGAATTTAAGTTATAATTTATTTATTATTTAAAAAAAAAGAACAGTTGCTGTGAAGTTGATTCTGACTCATTGCAACCCCTGTATGTGAGTAGAACTATGTTCTGTAGAGTTTTCAATGACTGATTTTTCAGAAGTAACTTGCCAGGACTTTCTTCCAAGGCACCCCTGGGTGGACTCGAACCGCCAGCCTTTTGGTTAGCAGCCGAGTACATTAATTGTTTGTGCCACCCACGGGCTCCTATTGGTTATTAGACAATAATAAATAATAAGATATATCACTGAATTATTTTATAATACAAATACTTCATGTCTGTCACAATTGCTACAAATATTTCCCCCCTCTGATTTATGTTGTTTTTAGCTATTGAGGAGAGTGGTGGTAAAAAGTGCAGACATGGGTTCCCAACTGCCTGGTTCACATATCCAGCCCCTGACTAGCTCTGTGGCCTTGGGGGTTTGTTTAACCTATGCCTCAGCCTCCACATCTCTATAATGAGGGGAGTAACACTATCCAGCCCATTGAGTTGTTACAGGAGCTTAATGAGTAAAACGTGTCACACGCTGGGAAGGGAGCCTGGCATGTAGGAGGTGGTAGATATTAGTGATTTGTTGTTACTGTTATCACCTATGATCATTTGGTTTCTGGTGTGAAACTTCCCTTGATTTGCTCAGTGTTCTTCTAGCTCTTTCCCTAGACCTCTGTTAGAGCAGTTGCAAGAGGCTGCCTTTTATTTTGGTTGGGTAGAATTTTCTCAAGAGGCTGTGACTCCCTGGAGGGCGGGAACCATGATTTATTTACTGTTCTTTTTCTAGTACCTTGCACAGGTACTCAGTACGTACTTGTCGTTTCAACAGATGTTATGTGAACACCTTTTGTTTGTGTGCCAGATACTGTTCCAAACACAGAATAAATCAGTAAACAAAACAGACCAAGGCCCCTGTCCTTGTGGAGTTTACATTCTAGTAGAAATTAGAATTAAAAAAAAAAATTTTTTTTTTTCTGTTCTTGAGGCAAATGAAGAATGTATTCATTTTCTAATGTTTTAAAATCTGGCCATTATAAGATTTGGGGACAGTGACTCGGCATCTGCTTCTAAATATGAACTTGCCTGCTACTCCAAGTCCTGGTGGAACTTGGATCTGAGGAGAAGCTGTTGGTGTGGTGAGGACCCTTGAGAAGGAGCATAAAACCATCTCATTGGGTAAAATGTTGTGGGGTCAAAATGAATTCTGCTTTGAATTTGTTGACTTTTCTTTAAAATAGCATCCCCAAGGGCCTGCTCTCATTCTTAATGAGTCATCAGAATACACATTTTCGGCATTCCTTCCTGTAAAAAGCAGCTCTCTTTGCCATAAACAGCCCTGTCCCAGCATAATATTTTAGGAAACTAATCGTGATGTGTGGGTCCCTGAAGTTAGTGCTTCTTACTGCTTGCTGTCCATTTTGCTTTAGAGATTAAAAAACAAACAAAACAAAACTCAAAAAGGAATAATTTTGAAAACACTGATCTTGAGTTGAAATTGTGGAACATTTCTTTTGAGTCTTCTTTCTGATGTACTTATGTGGAAGGTTCCATTGCCATGTACAGCAGAGAGCTTCTGAGTATCCCTCTGGTTTTGCCCACTTGGCAATGGGTCTGGGGCAGGACTATTCATATGCAGTTGTACACGTTCGACCTGAGGCCCTGCTAGTACTGTAGCATGTAAATTGACAGCCATCACTCAGTCTGAGAGCAAGTTTTAGTTAAAACTCTCCCCTCTCCCTGCAGATAGATTCAACCTTGAAGGGATCTGAAAACCTCAGTGTAAGGGAGATCAGTGGTTCTCAGCCAGGGGTGATTTTGCCCTCCAGGGGTAGTTGGCAATGGCTGGAGACATTTTTGGCTGTCACATATGGGGGAAGGGGTTGCTACTGGCATCTAGAAGGTACAAGCCAGAGATGCTGCTAAACATCCTATGATGCACAGAACAGCCCCCACAACTCAGAATTAACCCAGCCCCAAAGTGTCCATAGTGAGAAACCCTGGTGTAGGTGGATGGGAATCATTTCCATTTACACTCATGAGCTAAACAAGACTCTGGGATGCTTTTCCTGCCACATGAGGGTGAGGCCCAGTTTGTCCTCAGGCCCTGCACATGGCTCCTTTGTCTCTCTTGTCAGATTGAGCGGCGCCTGGACGTGGTGCGGTCAATGTGCCACCAGTCGCACAAGCGCCTGACGGGCTGCTTCCAGGGCCAGCATGGCACTGACGCCGAGAGGAGACATGTGAGTATCAGATGCGGCACAGAGCTTCAGTCCTACGTCCGAAGCTGTTTCACCCCTCTGATTAGCTCGTTTCTTCCAGTCAGCCTCAGCAGATTTAACTGCAGATTTGTACCTCAAATTGCCGTTAACGCTCCTGACACCTGCCTGACCATAGCATTCCTTTATGCTTAAGACATTGCTGGGCTCAAAGCCCTGATCCATTGAATTTTTTCCAGATGCTTTTAGAGACTCCATAGGTCATTTGTCATTGATAAAAGAATGGACATGTCAGTTAGGAATCCTTTGATGGCAAAAGCTGGAGGCCTACCTTAAACCAACTTGGGAAGTCCAAGTAATTTATTAGCTCGGTAAATGGAGAGTCCAGAGGTTGGGTGGATTTGAGGTAAGACTCAGTCTAACATTTCAGTGGTGTAACCAGAAACCCAAGAGTTTTGTTCCTTTCTCGTCTCTATATCTTTTTTTTTTTATATTTTATTGTACTTCAGGTGAAGGCTTACAGAACAAATAGTTTCTCATGAAACAGTAGTACACATGTTGTTTTATGACATTGGTTAACAACCCCACAACATATTAACCCTCTAACTTCTCAACCTTTTTTTTGGTGAAAATACACATAGCCAAAGATACACCGTTTCAAAAATTTCTACATACACAGTTCAGTGACATTGACTACGCTCTTCCAATTGTGCTGTTATTCTCACTTAAGATGAAGGCTTACAGAACAAAATAGTTTCTCATTTAACAGTTACTACACATCTTGCCCTATGACAATGGTTAACAATCTCACAACACATCAACAATATCCTTACTCAACCTTGTGTTCCCTATCACCAGCTTCCTTGTCCCCTTCTGCCTTCTGACCCTTGTCACTGGACTCCTGTACCTCGTTAGTCTCATTTGGTTTTACGGGGCTGTCCACTCCCAGGCTGAACAGTGAACCTCGGAGGTAACCTCACCACTGAGCTAAAAGGGTGTCTGGGGGCCATACTCTCGAGGTTTCTCCAGTCTCCTTTAGGCCAGTAAATCTGGTCTGTTTTTTTTGTGAGTTAGAATTATGCTGTACATCCTTCTCCAGCTCTGTCCAGAACCCTGTGTTGTGATCCTGGTCAGAGCAGTCAGTGGTGGTAGGTGGGCACCATCTAGCTGTACTGGACTCAGTCCGGTGGAGGCCTTGGTAGCTGTGGACAATTAGTCCTTCGGACTAATCTTTTCCTTGTATCCTGTTCTCTTCATTCTCCCTTGCTCCCGAAGGGATGAGACCAGTGGAGTATCTTAGATGGCCGCTCACAGGCTTTTAAGACCCCAGACACTACTCACCAAAGTAGAATGTAGAGCATTGTCTCTATATCTTTTTAATGTCTGCTCTGTTCCAAGATGGGTACCCTTCATGCTTGTAAGTTGGCTACCAGCGGCTTCCAAGGGCTGTGAACTTCCGTGTGTGTCTCCAGCAGGAGTAGAGAGCATCTCTCCCAGTAGTTTTCTTAATGGAATGAGAAAGCTTCTTCCACACCACTGGCAGATAGAAATCTCCTATTGCACTGACCTGAATTGAGTCACATTCCACATTTTTGAACATTCCCATTCCACTCTAGTTACCGTGGTAGGAGGTGAGGTTGGGTGAGGAGATTCAGCTAATCAGACCCACCCCTAGAGCATGAGCTGTGGTCCTACCTTCAGCTCACAGGCTTTATGGGGCTGGGGAATATCCTTAAGAAAAATCAGGATACTATTATAGAGAAGAAGAGGATGAGCTGTAGGTGGCCAGACCACTGTATGTCTGTTCCAGGGTACTCAGAGTGTTCAGGTTTCTGCATTCCACCAAGTAGAGCACAGTACCTTTCGTTCATGACGCAGTTCTGTGCTTGGTTTTACAGGTTCCTTTCTCATGAGCATACACTGAGCCTTAAAACCATAAAACATTAAAGTGATAATTTCAGTGGCACACAGGGTAACTATGATGTGCTATATTATATTGTTTTGTCACCAGATGTGTCAAAAGGAGGAACTGGTGGTACAGATGATCTGTGTCTTCCTCCTTTTGTATTTTCTACAGACATTTATGAGGCATCTTGTAAACAGGGTTATTCCTCTCTCGCACAATATTTAGAATTCTGCAGTTGTGTCTGTCAGAGGAATGGAGGCTTGCATACACCTACCATGCCAGGAATGCCGGCCTCAGGGTCCCATCCCTCAGAATCAGACCCAGTCTGCCGGCTCTGCCCCCACTGTGCCTTCTCATTCTCTTGCCCAGCTTCTGCTCTGCCTGCCCTTTTAGTGTTTCCTAAGTTTCTGTCCTTCTCCTTATTCTCGCCGTCACATTCCCTGGGCTACCTTCTCTGTTCTCATGACTTCTATCTGGTGTGCTTATACCAGGGACTTCTAAGCCATTTTCAACCAAGCACAAAACCTCCTCCCCTAGCTGTCTGTTTTAGCGTGCATAACCAGTTCTTCCTTCTGTATTCTGTCTTGAATTCCATCCACCCTATTATGCAAGCTAGAAACTGTGGGACTGTCTTCTATTCACTTTTATTTTATCCTCCACCCTCCCATAGCTGCTTGATCAGCAAGCCCCGTGATTCGGTCTGTGCATATTGTTTGAATTCCTCACCTCCACTCCATCTCCACCACCTCGATTAATGCAAGACCCGATTACGTCTCACCTGGACTGTTGTCAACACATCCTGAGCTGTATTTCCTGCCTCTCATTTCCCTCCTTTCCAGTTTGTCTTCAGCCTGGTCACTAGAGTTGTTTTCCTGAAATACAAATTGATTCTGTCATGCTCCTGCCTTAAAAAAAAAAAAAATCTTAGTGGTTCTCAACAGGGACCAAAATTACACCCTTGGGAATATTTGGGAATGTGTAGGGACATTTTTGGTTGCCATAATGACTGGGGAATACGACTAGCATTTGGAGAGTGGGGACCAAGACACTAAACGTTCCGCAGTGCCTGGCGGGATAGTTCTACCCAAGGAACTGCCCCCAAATGCCAGCAGAGCCTCTTTTGAGAAGCACTGCCTGACCCCCCTTGCCTGGGATAATATCCAAACTCTAGCGTGACTTAAACCCTTTATACTCTGGTCCCATTTTCCTTATCAGCCTCATTGTCTCTGACTTCCTCCCATTCCCACTGCATTCTAGCCATATGATACCCAACCAAAACCAAACCAAACCCACTGCCATTGAGTCGATTCCGACTCATGGCAACCCCATGTGTTACAGAGTAGAACTGCTCCGTAGTGTTTTCTTGGATGTAATCTTTATGGAAGCAGATCACCAGGCCTTTCTTTCATGTCACTGCTGGGTGGATTCAAACCACCAACTTTTAGGTTAGTAGTTGAGTGCAAAGCATTTGCACCACCCAGGAACATTATGTAGTACCCACCAGTCCCCAAGTATATATTATTGTCCTTCACACAGTTACGTTTTGGTGTTCCTTTTGTCTGCAGTGCTTTGAGACAGCCCAAGTGTCACATATTAATTAGAAACAAACAAATTAAACAAATACTTATTAAACACCTACTGTGTACAAGTGCTGGAGATATAAGGTATCTTAGATGTAGTCTCCACCTTAAAGGTGCTCACAGCCTGGTGGGTGAGATACACACAAATGGATAATTATAAAACAGCATGATTAACAGAATTTTATCTGTATTATGGAAAGGTATTATGGAAGGATCAAGAATGGGTGGCACAGGAGGAGGGGGATAGTCAGGTGAGGCTTCTTGGAAGTGGCAGTGCTTGACCTGAAAAGGAAGAAATTAATGGCAGGTGATTGGCATATTCCAAGCAGAAGGGCAAAAGAGACAAAGGTGCCTGGTCCTCATTTCTAAAACTTAAAGCCTTAGCCTTCTTTTTCCAACCTCAAACAAAAGTACCAGAGACAGAGGGTTCTGAGGATGTCTACACTTGGCACATAAGAAGAGGAGCTGCTATGAAAATAGGAGAAGAATCCCGTGTTTGCACACGAGGCCAGAGAGTACGGAGGAAACCATAGCAGTCTCTAGAAAACATAGGAGGAGCATCCCAGAGTTCCCGCTGGAAGGCCCCATGCGTGGGAAGAGACAAGAACGAAGGGGATAGGGACGGCACGGGTGGCCTTCCCAGTTCAAGCTGGTGACATGCCAGAGCTAATATTGTGGTTCATAGTAAATCTGGAATTACTTCTTTTTATGCAGTTGGCTATTGCGTGCATTTTACAAATTAAGACTTGGGAGCTTTTTAAACTGATCCCTGGTGATAGAAAAGCTGTTCACCCCAGAAAGCCTGAAGACCTCTCTGTGGAGGAGTTTGATGTTGGTGAACAAAATCTTCTTTAACGAGCTCATGTGTCCAGTGGGCTTTCCTTATTAATTTATATCAGGAGGCAAGATCGTTGTGGTTTTGGGGCCGGGGCATGGAAATCACAGGCTATTTACAACTGGGAGCTTGAATATTTGCCAAAACAGACTTCTCTCTTTGTGATTGTTTTTCCATAGAGTTGGAATCTCAGAGTTGGTTTTGCTTAATATCCCACACTTAAATTCTTTTAGAAAGGCAGCATATCTAGAACATATGAATGATCTTCTTTCTTATATGAATCAAGCACACTCCCAATTTTCTCACATCTTCCTAGTCTAGAAGTGTGGAAGCAGGATTAGTCTCCTTGCAGGCAGATGGGACCCATTACTTTTTTATTAGAAAATAACTTGGGAGAAGGGTAGATGGGTAAATATGTTGTTACTTATTTTTAAATTTCAGTATGCTGTTTTGAGTAGGCTATATATTCATATTTTTCAAAATTCAGAGTATACAAAAGAATATAAAGTGAAGTCTCTCCCATCCCTCATCCCCAGGCACCCAGTGCCCCTCCCCAGAGGCCACCAGTATTAGCAGTTTCTGTATCACCTTCCAGAGATATTCTGTACAGTATAAGCCAACACACGCATGAATGTAGTTGATGGTGCACTTTGGAGGTGGAAGAGGTAGGTAACATGCAAGTGGTCACAGCGGAATAGTGATGCAGCTAGGTGGACCCTGGGTCTCTGACCTGAGTGCTCTTTCTATTGGGAAAGTGAAATTACACAGGGAGCTGCAGAATTGAGAGCATTTTTTGTTAGCCAATTATGTGGTATAACTGATGCACTTGTTACTTTCCTCTTCTACTCATATTTTGAGTTAAGCATTGGCCAAGACACACTGACCTGGAGGAAGAGTCATGTGGGACTGAGGTCTGGCTCTACCACCCTCTCCCCGGGTACTCGACCAGGCCATTTAGCCTTCCTGGGCTTCAGTTTCCTTGACTGTACAATCAGAACCTTAGATCAGATGATCCTTGTCATTTCCAGCTGAAAAGCAAATTTCTGATAGGAAACTAAGTGACTTTGTGCTTAAAAACATTACAAATTTTTTTTATATATACTTAGATATTTAACTAAAGCTAAATCTTTATGATTATAGCCAAAGTAAGAGCCAGTTTAAGAATGAATGTTCTAGCAAAAGATTTTGAAATCGAACACTTTATTGCATTTATTTGTTGTGATAATCACTCTAGTGCCTGGGACGTGGTGGTCACTTGATTAACTAATAGTAATAATAATAATGATAATAAAACCTCATTGCCTTCGTGTCAATTCCGACTCATAGCAACCCTATAGGATAGGGTAGAACTTCCCCCATAGGGTTTCCAAGGAGCGGCTGGTGGATTCAAACTGCTGACCTTTTGGTTAGCAGCTGAGCTCTTAAACACTGCACTACCAGGGCTCCAATAATGATAATAGCAGCTTTCCCACGTGCTAGGTACTTGACGATGAATATATCCTAAGACGTGGGCACTATTACCATCCCTGTTTTACATGCATGAGGAAACTGAGGCACAGAGGGATTGTCACACAACTAGTACTTTTGAGACTAGGATTTGAACTCAGGCTGTCTTTTTCCTGGGTCATTTGACTAGAGGGAGACATCAAGGAATGATGATCTGAAGTAGATAACTGAAAATGGGTATCAAACAATAATGAAGAGAACTCACTTTCTTCTGCCTTCCAGAAAAAACTCCCTTTGACAGCTCTCGCTCAGAGTATGCAAGAAGCATCTGCTCAGCTAGAAGACTCACTCTTGGGGTAAGAGTCGACTGTTTTCCAAGAGCTGAGTGCCCTCAGCGGTTGGGCTGGATGGTGTGCATGGCAGCCCCCTGCATGACCAGAGGGCCATGGAAGGCTTATCCTGCAGGTTCTGTGGGAGAAAGTGGGGTCAAGGCTGAAGAATCTTCCTTTAGTAGGAGCAAGGCCCAAGTTGGAAAGGTTGTTAATGAAAATCATTGATAAAAAACAAAACCCATTGCCATTGAGTTGATTCTAACTCATAGCGACCTTATAGGACAGAGTAGAACTGCCCCATAAGGTTTCCAAAGAGTGGCTGGTGGATTGGAACTGCCAACCTTTAGGTTTGCAACCCAACGCTTAACCACTGCGCCACCAGGGCTCCAAGTTGGAAAGGTCGTTAATGAAAATCATTGATAAGGATCAGATTTATTCCCCTAAAGCTTGGGTATAAGAATTTGGTCCCTTCACTGTTCAGGTGTTGACTCGGATTTATAAACTCTGACCAGTCCCTCTGAGTTCTTAAGAGTCATTTCCTTTAAGGGTGGTCACCAAAATGTCATTGATGGCCGTCTCCAGGTAGTGAGTTTTCTGAATTATTTGGATTTTTTTAATTTTTGCAATAGGCATGTATTATTTGAATAACTGAAAAAAATCATAGAGCTACTGTCATTGTAAGAGGGAAAGGCTTGCCCTTCCCTGTAGCTGTTCTCCAGCATGGCTGGTGTCCCTTAATCCTGTCTGTTGTCCCCTCTGTAACATGCGCCCTCCTCCCCAGTTGCACCTGGCCTTTGGAGTTTCAGCCCATTTCCTTCGACCTGCCATATTGTATGTCCTACAATCCTCCCTTCATTCTTTGAAAGAGAATGGCTTTTTCCCACTCTTCACCCTTCCTTTATCCTGTCTGTTCTCCCAATACGGAGACAGTGGCCCTGGGAGGAGGTGACTCATGCCTACAGGCTGGCGTTCCTGCTTCCTCCACCCTGAACGTGTTTCCATATTTGTGCTTCCTCATACTATTGCCGTCATCATCATCACAGTTGTTAAAAGAGCGCTTGCAATGTGCCAGCACTGCTTTAAGTGCTTTCCACGTAATAACTCATTCAATCCTTAAAACAACCCGTTAATACCCCCATTTTACAGATGAGGAAATTGATGAACAGAGAAGTAAATTGCCCAAGGGCACATAACTGGTCAATAGCAAAGCCTGTATTTGAACTTGGGCAGGCTGGCAGCAGAGATCAGGTTCTTACCCACAACACCACAACACCTGACTTGGGAACCTCATCCTTGAGTAAGGTGTGACCTCACTGTTTACAACTCCCCCCGCCCCATACACATGCACAAAACACACACCTGAGAGAGTCTTTCTCATTTTAAAGCACAAATCTGTGGACCCACGTTTTAGCTAATTTTCTGGCTTTACTGTTGTAATCCTCTAACGTCTTCCTATTATGTAGAGACCAGAATGGTTCAACATTGGTACGCAGGTGCCTGATTTAGTGAACATATGCTCATTAAAGCGTCTTGTTTTTAAAGGAAGATGCTGGAGACATGTGGAGATGCTGAGAATCAGCTGGCACTGGAGCTCTCTCAGCATGAAGTCTTTGTTGAGAGGGAGATCTCAGACCCTCTGAATGTCATAGCCGAGGTGGGTGCTTTGCTGTGTGGCATAGAAGAGCCGAGACCAGCATGGACTGGGTGGTGAATGCTTCACCTATGTCTATAATTTTAACAATTGCCAGTGTACAGTAATTTTTGTAAATAAAACAAGTAAATTAGGCTACAGAATACTTTGCCTTAGAGAAAAAAATCTTCAAATAAATATTGCACTTAAAAATGTTAAGATAAAAGCCCTGAAGCGTATGCCGTTTGGTGTGTTCTTCTTTTTAGGTGGAGATTCCCAACATCCAGAAACAGAGGAAACAGCTCGCTAAATTGGTGTTAGACTGGGATTCTGTCAGAGCCAGGTAAAGTCAAACCGTAAAAATACCCAGTAATGCTATCAGGTCACATACCCGGCAACCGTCACCATCCCCAACACAGATGAGAGAAAGACCAATGAGCGGACAAAAGGGAAGTCGTCACAAAGTCATGCCCGTGACCCATAGACTGAGTCAATGTCCTACTGACACCCCTTTTTAGACCTCATTTTCCCAAGCAGGGCCGCAGGGGTGTTGTTAGAGGGTGATGTGCCATTATTAGTGAACTGGCAATGAAAGGAGATGGGAAAAAAATGGAAAGAAAGCATGTGTATTAGGGGTGGGAGATGGGGACGGTGGCAGACAGTTGCAATAGCATAGCTCTTGGGATAGTGGAGTGTACCAGTAAACAGATTTGCCATCTTAATAGCCCCTGGAGGTGGCGCTATGTTACAAACCCTGTAATATCATGAAATGTTATGCTCAAAAGGGAGGAACACGGGTAAAACTAAGCAACAATAACCAGAGGACTGCTGACTTGTGGGTTAATGTCACCTGGACTCCAGTCTTGGCTCTGTCTTGATTGAATTTTTATCAGTAACGTATGTGGCATCAGAGGTGGCTTTCTTCTCGTGTGTGGGAGTTGGGAATAGGAAGACAACCATCACTGACCCCAGTCCATTCTCATGCTTTATCACAGGGGCTGACACTTTTTCTGTAAAGGGCCAGATAGTAAATACCTCAGTCTTTGCAGGCCAGATGGTCTCTGTGGCAACTGCTCCACTCTGCAGTTGTGGCAGGAAAGCAGCCGTGGTCTATACGTAAATGAGTGGACGTGGCTGCTTCCTATAAACCTTTATTTACAAAAACGGGTGCCAGGCTGGCTTTGGCCTGTGGATCATAGTTTGCTGACCCCTGCTTTGTTAGATTATTTAACCCTCATTACAGTCCTTTGAGGAGTCTGGGTGGCACAAACAGTTAATCACTTGTAGCCAAAAGATTGGCAGTTGGACCCCATCTGGAGGCACCTTGGAAGACAGGCCTGGCAGTCTGCTTCTGAAAGATACAGGCTTGAAAAACCCTAAGAAGCAGTTCTACTCTGCACACATGAGGTAGCCATGAGTTGGAATTGACTTGGTGGCAATTAACAACAACAGTCCTGTGAAATAGACAGGACTGTTTCTATTTGACACATATGTGGAGCTACGGCTGTCATTTACTGAGTTCCTGTTACTGGTCTGCAAGTTAGAGAAGTTTAGAAAATGGCTATAACAATGCTGCATTTCCTTGTTTCTGAGATGCTGTTGAGGGGTCCTTGGGGGGTGCAAATGGTTTGTACTCAGCTACTGGGCCAAAGGTTGGTGGTTCAGACACACCCAGTGGCACCACAGAATAAAGACCTGGCAGTCTGTTTCCGTTAAGATTACAACCAAGAAAACCCTATGACGCAGTTCTACTCTGTAACACATGGGGTCACCATGAGTCAATCGACTTGATGGTAACGGGTTTGTTTTTATTAAGATGCTGTTGAGTACTAGATGCACCAATGATTTAATTTCAGGTTTTTTGGGGGTGCAGGGGAGACAGACACTTCATTAAATGTACACATTAATTGTTAAGACATATTCTGACTTAAGAAATGTTGAGGTGATTAAAAGGTGCATCTAGGTTTTAAAAAGTGGGAGCTGTCACATGAACTCCCTATTTCTGATCCTCTTGAAAAGTCAAAAGAAAAAGTAGGTACAACTAAGAGTGAACGCATGGTAAAAATGATCACGACACCCATTTATAGTACAGTTGCTACATGCTAAGCATTGGGCTACATATGTTATGTTTGCTCCTTTGATTTGCCCACCAATCCCTATTCATTTGCTTAGTTATGTTTTTGACAGATCTCAACTGGGTATTTACTATGTATCAGACTGTGTGCTGGACACTAGATGCGGAAGCCCCTCAATAAGAGCTGAAGAAGGAGCAGGGGTTAGGAGGTTAATGTAACACCCCCTACCCTTGAGAAGAGACTGCAGTCCTCCTTTTACAGATAAGGGAGAGACCTCTGTATATTATCTATATGACTTGCTTCATGCCATGTAGATAATAAGTGGCAGAGCTAGGATTCTGAATGCAAAGTCCACGGTCTCCTTAACAGGGTAAACACTGTGACAGAAGCAGGGCCTGGGAGTGGAGGCTACCCTGAGGCACGTTTTTGCTCAAGATAAAGAAGGCTGTTCTAGTGGTTAATTATTTGATCTTGACATGAGTGACTTCACAAGGCAGTGAATGCTCCCTGACTGGAATTGGTTGAGTGATGTTATAGATGTTTATCTGCTAGGAGTAGTACATCTGCAGTACACGTATCCCGTAGGAGATTTCAACCACTGATTCTTCATGCTGCGTTCATGGTCTTGTTCACTTAATTAATCAAAGTGGGTGTTGGAGAAACTGAAACAATTGAATATTTTCTCTTTATTTTTTCTTATTCCTATGGCTTTTCCCCGGAGGAAGATAATAGCTAACATTCAGTAGAAGTCTGTTCTGTGCCATTTTACACATGCACACATAAACACACACACACACTCTCTCTCTCTCTCTCATATGTTGGTTCTCTATCTTTATGACAGTTCTGCAAGGCAGGCAGTGTTTATTCTCTTAGTTTTACAGATGAGGCAACTGAGGCACAGAGAGGTTAAGTTATTACCCAAAGTCACACAACTAGTAAAGGTAGAGTCGAGCTCAAACTTGAGGTTGTCAGACTCCTAAGTCTGTGCTTTTACCACTGCGTTGCATTGTCACTTTTGTTGCAGCAGCCTTGCTGAAGCCTTGCTGTAGAGGTTTGCTTCCCATCAGGGATGCAAAACGGGGCAGAGCTTGGCACTTCAGGGCAATGCAGCAATCTGGGACGCTCAACAGGTTGCTGACATGAGTTTTCATGTTGCATCTTCAGAATATCTATGTTTAAATTTGAAGTGTGAGAACTTTCCACAACAGCAGACACATCCATATTCAAACAGGTCAAAACACACTTGAAAGCCAAATAGAAGTTGTTTTCTATTATTATCGCCCATCTCACTCCCTTATTTTCCCTATAGTATAATTTTTTTTTTTCCTTTTAGCTTACTATGTAAAGGGAATATAAATAGTCCACATTATGTTTCAGATTTGCTGTAGATATTGTCTTTAGAATATTAATTCTTGTAAGTATTTTTCATTCTCATGGTGATTTCATAGCTGTTGACTTAATAGCTACTGGTTGAAGGCTTTTACCTACTGAAAGTAATCACAGGTCAGGATAGTAGTCAAGAGGGTCATCGGGAGCTCTCTGGAGCGGAAACTGATTCTTGGTGGCACAGGGAACGTTCTAGACCAAAGCAGAAGAGTAAGGGAATGTTTCATGGCAAGAATTCCATGATTGGGCACTAAGGAAAGAGGTTCCATGGATTGATTCCCAGGAGTAGAATTTGTTTCAGATTAGTTATGGTGGGTTATACTCAAAGTAGACAGCTAATCCCAGCATGCTGAGTGTCCTGTCATGATGAGAGGCTAATGTCTATTTTTGAGTGCTTCCATTCTTAGAGGGTAAACATAAGGGAAGCTGGCTTCTAAGTACTGATACCCATCCCAGGTAGAATCAGTTTTGGGGATGGAATCTGTCTCCATAGGTCTTTGACTCCATAGGTCCTTGAGTTTGTACAGCTTGTTCTCAGATACTGGCTACCCCTTGTTTTGCAGATGGAACCAAGCTCACAAATCTTCAGGAACCAACTTTCAGGGGCTTCCATCAAAAATAGATACCCTAAAGGAAGAGATGGATGAAGCTGGAAATAAAGTAGAACAGTGCAAGGTACAAAATTCCCTAATAAATACATACTTGTAGCAACCTTTTTTTTTTTTTTGGCAGATGATGGATGAAAGATCAAATATTGCAAATTATTGAGTAAGTTTTACATTAATTCCCATCAGAATACTTTGAATGATATTAAGTGTGTGTAAGGTTTTAGTAGTAGTAGCATCAGAACCTGTCTAACTTCAGGGAGGATAATGCAAATCAAGATCAGTGTAAGGCTGATCCCTATGAGGTGGAGGTCAGACATTCCTCCCCTCTCCAACCTTTTTACCAGTTATGACACCAGTCGTCCCTCCCACAGCACTCTGCTTCTCTGCCTGGTTTGATGATTCGTTGCAGTGGCCACACAGAACTCACAGACCATACTTACAGTCAAGTGGTTTATTAAAGAAGCAGCAGGGCACAACTTGGGATCAGGAACAACAGGCTACAACTCTTGTGTTTTTATATAAGTGAGGTCATACAATGTATGTTCTTTTGTGATTGGCTTATTTTGCTCAGTATAATGTCTTCAAGCTCCATCCATACTGGAGCATGTATCAAGACTTCATTTCTCCTACTGGCTGAGTAGTGTTCGGTTGCATGTATGTACCACATTTTGTTTATCCATTCATCTGTTGATGGGCAGTTAGGTTGTTTACACCTTTTGACTATTGTGAATAGTGCTGCAGTGAACATTGGTGTTTGAGTCTCTGTTTTCAAGTCTTTGGGGTATATACCTAGGAGAGGAATTGCTGGGTCATATGGTAGTTCTATTTTTCGTTTTTTGAGGAACCACCACACTGTTTTCCACAACGGCTGTACCATTTTGCATTCCCACCAGCAATGGAGAAGGGTTCCAATTTCCCCGCATCCTCACCAGCATTTTTTATTTTCTGTTTTTTTTTCAGCCATCCTAGTGGGAGTGAAATGGTATCTCATTGTGGTTTTGATTTTCATCTCTCTGATAGCTAATGATGCTGAGCATCTTTTAATGTGTCTGGTGGCCATTTGAATGTCCTCTTTGGTGAAATGTCTATTCAGGATCTTTGCCTGTTTTATGATTGGGTTATTTGTCTTTTTGTTGTTAAGTTGTCAAAGTTATATATATATTTTAGTTAATTTAGATTCTTGTTGGATATATGGTTTCCGAAGATATTCTCCCAGTCAGTAGCTTGTCTTTTTAAATATATTTATTTTAATAGTCTCTGGGAATTCTATTTTCTGAAGTTCTCTGTAAAAATGGTGGGAGTTTGCTTATATATTTTGTAATTTTGTATTTTAAGTTCATTTTAAGAGGGACTTTATCTGTGGGACTACTGGGGGTTGAATGAATCTCCTCAGAGAGTATTCCCAGCCCAGGACCATTTTAAACTAAATTTACTCTGTTAGGGGGTTGCTGGGCACACATATAGTAAATTCAAACCTCAAACCCTCGTGAAAACAGGCCTATTTTAGTGAAATCTCAGAAGCAGCTTTTTTTTTCCTTCCCAGACTCAGAGCCCATTCTAAGACAGATAAGCGTCCCTGTTATTTCCATGCACTAATAAGCGAGATTTTTTTCTAATCTACTCTTTTATTGAGAGTATAGTTCCTCAGGAGTCCTATCTTCATGCATGACGTGTGTATGCTTGTCTCAGTTCCAGTTCCTCATCCCACAAGGCCCAGGGCCTCATTTCCTCTCCTCACCCCACAGGACTGCTAGACTCAAACACCTTGGCCACCAGGAGTGGCATACACCCACCTCTGGTCATTCCCAGCATCCATTCATGCTTAGCATTTTGGCTTTCATTTCTTTTTTTCTATTCTGTGTTTTTGGTTATGGGAATTTACTCCTTACTTTCTCAGTTATACTAATTGGATGTTTGTTACTTCTAACTACATTTCTAGGTTTTTCTCATAAGTGGGAGGGCCTCACATGAACTTGTGTACCTTGAAGATGACGTGCTTATACACACACACATGCATTATCTAACCTGTCATTTTTTAAAATTATTTAATTTTTTATATAAGTAATTCATTTACTTTAAATATCAAATATTGTAAAACAGTATAGAGTGAAGTCTTTCTTCCACCCTTTGTCTTCCTTCTACCTAATTCCCACTGCTCCCAACAGGCAATTATTATCATTAATTTCTTGTTTTTTCTTCCAGAGATATTTTTATATACATGACAATAAATAGATCATATAGTAATAATTTTTTTGTCTCCTTTTTTTATCTTGATGGTAACATACTTTACATAGTGCTTTATCCTTTGCTGCTTAATAAGGTATATTAACAGTATCTCTTGGACATCATTCCATGCCAATCCTTATTCTTTTTGTTGTTCTAGGGTATGGTTATATCAGTCAGTTGATGGACATTTAATTTTTAGCTGTTTCCATCATTTTTTTTTTAAATCTTTCTCCTATTTTTTTTTTCAATGATATATCTTCTTTTCCACATACCCAGGATCAGCTTGCAGCAGACATGTATAACTTTATGGCCAAAGAAGGGGAATACGGCAAATTCTTTGTTACGGTAAGCCCCTTTCCTTGACAATATGTGAAAAACATTGTAAAAACGAATCATTATAGCTTTGTTGCATAAGTTGTCATTTTTGGTTTTGCTCAGCCATTGTGTGTGTGTCCATCCGATGCTAACGTTACTTTTGTTTTTGAATGTGGGTCTGTTCTCAGTTATTAGAAGCCCAAGCAGATTACCATAGAAAAGCATTAGCAGTCTTAGAAAAGGCCCTCCCCGAAATGCGAGCCCATCAAGGTAATGTAACCTGTGTGCTGGCTGATGCCTCCTTCTCGCCTCTGCCACTTCTGCCTCTGTTCTTCTTCACCCTGACTCCTTTGCATGCACTTCCTCTGGATAAAGCCTCTCCGCCTTGGAGGATACAGTTTCCCAGCATAATTTCATCTTCCCTTACCGCATTCTGTCATTTCTTCCCAACCCAAATTAACACACTAATGGAACATTTGCAGTTCTTCTGAAACCTTCAGTTGGAGAGAAGCTTGCCCCTTTTGGGAGTGCCTGTGTGTCTTTTCTGTCTTCTCAGTAGGCTTAAAAATATTTTTTCTTAATAGATTCTAGCATCTAATTATCCTTTTCCAAATAAGCTCTTTGTTCCATAGGGCTTAATTCTAGTCCTGTGACTCTAAGACCACACGTTCTAGGAAAAATATTTTGGACTTTCCGGTGGAGAATTTTGGAAACCAGTACCTAATGCCACACCATCAGTCACTTAATCAATGGATTGCATGATCAGACCGTGACCTCTTCTCTGTCTTTACACAAGTCTCTTGTTCTTATGAGCACTGGTGTTGTGCCCACCATGGTCAAGCACATTGCAGATTTTACCTACAAGTTATGTGCGTACTGAGCTTTCCCCTGGTGTTTGTTTCAGATTAGATACCTGAAGCTTTTAATTCTACTTCTCTCTGCTTTATGATCAGAGCGTTTACCAGCAGAGATCAGTAAAAGATGTTAAGGCAGAAATTGCTCTGTCTTCTTTGGACCTGTTACACCACTTCAGTTGCAGTATAAACCTGACATTTGGATCTGACATTTCCCCTGCAGAACCATGAGTCTTGAGGTAGCAGAGGATCAGGCCAGGTGCTGAGTATGATGACTGTGTGATTGTGAGAGAGTGAGTGGGTGCGTGGATGGGCGTGTGGATGGACACACTCACACATGTGCCCAAGAATGCCATATTTTTGCTGTAAGTTTCAGGAGGAACCAACAGGTTCAAACTTTGTGCCTGAAATTTTTTGGATTGTGGAATTAGAAAATTCGGTATCTTGACCAACAGCATAGCCAGGTCTTCAGTGATCTTGGGGGTAGCGTGTCTGATTTACTCAACCACTCTTCTTTAGACGAGCTGTCCTCGCTTTCCTAAGTGATTGATTTGATTTCCTAGTTTGTGGAAGATGGTGTTGGGTCACAGTGCAAAGAAATGAAGCTCCTGACTAACACTTAGTCTTTCTAGGGGCAGCTTCTTGCTGGGCCCATTCAGAGTATGGAGAACAGGTATTTATGGGCCACCTACCACATGCTGGGCCCTGCATGGGGCAAAATAGTCAGCAGCAGCAGTATCTCTGTCTTTGTGAAGCTTAAAGTCTGGTTCAGAAGCACAAAAAAGAGAAGATTGGATTTTTTAAGCAATGCCTTTTTTTTCCTTAACTCCTATTCTATTTTTTTCCCAAGGCTACTTTCCCTAGAGAAGTATGCCAGAAAGTCAAGGGGACTGGAACGGGGCAGGGAGGAGTCTTAGGATGTAACAAAGAAAGCTGGTGTTGTGGGCAGCAGCCAGAGAAGGAAGTGTCTTCGGTCTTTCATCCAGCCCCTCCCCTCTCTCCCTGTCCTCCTAGCTACCTCTCATCCCTTAGTCCTGTCTAGCTCTTCCTTTCTGTCAGCGTCTTCTCTGTTTGCAGAAAAGCTCTGCGTGTCCTTAGTATAGAATAAATATGCAGCTTGATCCCACTGCCTCTTATGATCCTGCTGACCGTGATTTCATATGCATGGTTCCCTAATGATTATTCACTGCCTATCTTGTTCTAAACTCAGGATCTCGTTCTTCATTTTTGTGTTAGGCTCTTTGAATGGCTCATTTCTGCCTGCAGCCTCCACTTTCTTTCCACCTTCCCAGCCCTTCAACTTTTTTTTTTTTTTCTATTGTACTTCAGGTGAAGGCTTACAGAACAAATAGTTTCTCATGAAACAGAAGTACACATGTTGTTTTATGACATTGGTTAACAACCCCACAACATATCAACCCTCTAACTTCTCAACCTCTTTTTTTTTTTTTTTTGTGAAAATACACATAGCCAAAGATACACCATTTCAAAAATTTCTACATGCACAGTTCAGTGACATGGACTACACTCTTCCAATTGGGCTGTTATTCTCACTTAAGATGAAGGCTTACAGAACAAAATCGTTTCTCATTTAACAGTTACTACAAATATTGCCCTATGACAATGGTTAACAGTCTCACAAGACATCAACAATATCCTTACTGCCTTGGGTTCCCTATCACCAGCTTCCTTGTCCCCTTCTGCTTTCTGGCCCTTGTCACTAGACTCCTATACCTCGTTAGTCTCATTTGGTTTTACGGGCCCAGCCCTTCAACTTTTGCAGTCTGGTTTCTACACCCAGTCACTCTGCTATTTTTAAAAAAAAATCTCCCAATTCTCAAAGGACCAAGTGACCTTAATTTTCAGATCCTGGAATTTGAACTGGCGTTTGGTGGAGCCATCTCTTTCTCATTAAAATTTTTCCTTGTTTGACTTGATTTTTTCATGTCCTCAGCCAGATATCAGCCTTTTCTGAGGTCGAGGCCTTGCTCTTCGCCCCCTTCCCCCTAGAAACCCCCTCACTTTCAGATTCAGCTCTCATCTGCATAAGTATGTTCCCTTAATGACCGCCTTTCACCTTAAACTCAGCATATCTCAGAAAACCGGCTGATTCTTCCCCATCACCAGCTGTCCTTTTCTCCCTCCTTGTCCCCTTGATACCACATGATCCGGATGTAAAACCTTGGAGCCATCATTTTCCTTCTCTGGGTTCTTCCCTTTTTTCCCCTGTGCTGGGCCTCATATGTCCCCGCCTTCCTCTCTGTTCCCACTGTCTGCCCTGCTCTGTTCTCATCGCCCTGGGCATGAACTGTGGGATTAATTCTAATGCCCAGGCTCAAGAGCTCTGGTCTTTTCTCAGCCCGTCGCCCTCCACAAAAACGTTTTACATCTTCTTGGTCTAATTCCTAACCGTCTTCCCAGACCCCTTCAGACTCACTTCCTTCAAGAAATTTCTCTGACAACTGAAGCCAACAGTGAACACTCTGTCTCCTGAATTGCTCTAGCATTTATGGTCTACACCAGAAGTCGCAAACAGCCAGATCCCATTTGAAAAATTTTCAAAAACTAGACGCTTTTACACAGCGATCCTGATTTCTGACTCCTGCTGAAATTTAGAAGATCCGGCAACACGGGGTCTGTGTTCCCACGTGGCAGCCTTGGTCTGGTGCCCAGGAGCAGCCTATCCAGTCAGCCCTGCTACTGATCTGGCCCTGTAGACATCTGTTTGCGACCTCTTGTCTATACCATGTATCTGCCATGACTTAGCAAACATGTCCTGTCTTGTTAATTACTGTCATGTGTTTACATGTGTGTCTTGTATTGCTTCTCCTCACAATTAGATCACTCTCATCCTGAAGATGGGAATCTCTATGAACTTTGTGTGCCCACTGCAGTGCCTGACCCATAGTAGGTCTGTCGTTTGAGGGGCTGTGCACCTTGGGTGGAGTTTGCCTTAGGCATTGTCTCCGGGTCAGTGGTTCTCACATCCGCTCTCTGCCAACATTACACCAAGGTGGGGAGGGCACACTCCCTTCAGTATTTACTATTTTACTAGTATTTCTAGAAAGTTCTAATGGGGATTTGGAGTGTGCCTACCTTGGGAGTGGTGGCAGGTGGCATTTGGAGAGCTCCCTTGGGTCACTGTGATGTGGACCTCTAGGGGAAGGGTCATGTGGCCATTTTCTGCTGTATTGGAATCACTGCTTTAGATGAAAGGGACAAAGTGTTCAAGGTAAGATCTGGCTTCTGAGGGGACTATCACAGTTCTGTCTTCTGAGAAGAGCCCGGCCCCCAGGTGTTTTTTCTGTTAGAAATTCCGCTGGGCAGGGACAAGGGCTGGGGTCAGAGCGGAGGAGGGCTCCAGACAGTTCTGAGAGTGACGTGTGGCCTGCTCTCCGTTTTTGTCTGTTCCAACTCTTTTGCCTCACCTGTTTCTTCAGCCTCTGCCCACTTGCTCTTTCCATCAATTTTTCACTTTTTTTTTTTTTTTTTTTACAAAGTCTCAGGTCTGTGAGTATGGGATTTTATTTCTCTTCCTCCCCCTGTGTGCAGATCATGCAATGGGCCTGCATGCCTACATTTTACATAGAGTGTATGATGGCACACTGGAGTAAATATTGCCTTCTTCGAATGCAGGTTTCTAATATCCAAGTGGTGAAAGGAAAAATGCCCCTTAAAGGTGCTGAGAAGGTGTGAACTCTTCCTATTGGTGAAAGGAATGAAGTGTTTCTCACTGGAGTATTTTTACCAACTGGTTTTCCCTCTTTTGCTTCTGTGCACATCTCAGACAGCATCCTCACAGGCAGGCCAACCCCAATCACATACTTCTTATTCTGAGTTAATACTTTCATTTCCTAAATTTTGTTTTTCTCCTTTCCTGCATGTATTTCCGCTAAGCTGCCTCAAATCTTTTATGGAATCAAGCAGGGTGTTTGACCTAAAAAATACCCTAGAGTATTGCTCTGTTGCTGTCTGCACAGCCTTCAGCCTAAGCTGCTTTGGGGTTGCAGATACTGCTTTTTTTCATACTGAGAATTTTTGGTCCTGTTTGAGGTTGTGGCCTCAGAAACACTGCATGTCACGGCAATGTTGCATCTGATACGCGTTCACCTTGACAATCTCCCGTCTTGTATGATGAACGCTTGGCTTGTGTTTGGAATTTTAAGAGATTATTTCCTTTTTCCTGTGGTAGGAGTCTATTTGTTGCCCTCTAGGTAGAAAGCCAGTGCTGCTTTGCATGGCTCAAATAAACTTTTCAGTGAAAATCTCCTTCAGATGAACCCTCTGTTTTAGTGCCAGGCTGCCCACCTGATGCATGTCACTGTGACTGTGGTGCCACCACTGGAACTCCTACTGAGCAGCTTTTACGGGGTGCCGTGTGGGCAAGTTCAGGGCCCTCGTTCCACAAGTAACCTCCCCAGGCTTTTGCACCCTAGCGAACGTTAAGCGACAAAAGAAAATAGAACAGATGTTTTCCCCTTTCCCAAAGCCTCAGCTACCAGTCTGCTAATAAATCCCCTTTGGTCGTTTGGGAGAAACTAAGTTTGTAACCCTGGGAGCTTGTTGGGTGTCTTACTAAACGGTTTGCTGCTGTAGATAAGTGGGCAGAGAAGCCAGCCTTTGGGACTCCGTTGGAAGAACACCTGAAGCGTAGCGGGCGTGAAATCGCAGTCCCCATCGAAGCCTGCGTCATGCTGCTCCTGGAGACGGGCATGAAGGAGGAGGTGAGAGGTGCTGTGCTGTGGGGTGCCAGGTCTTCATGCCCTCTCCTCTAGAGCACCCCCCACCATACCTTTATTACTCAGCCATTGTCAGTACTGTGTAGACTGTGGCTTTCCAACTTTTGTCACTATGACCCACAGTAAGGATACATCTTAAATTGAGGCTGTGGTCACTCTATCCATCTGTCTATTAATGACACAAAGGTTTCACAGAGTAACGCTCACCTCTCCTTGCAGTGAAGTCTTCTTTTTCCCCCTATTCAATTATTTCATTTTTAAACGCTAGTTGTGGTTTGTGAAAATGGATTTCAGGACATGCTCGTGGACCAGAGCTTCCATGAGCTTTAGTTTTTAATAGCAAGCATCTGTAGTACTGTGTAATTCCTGGAGGACATTTACATACGTTCGTTTGGTGGGATCCTTACAGGAAAACACTGAGACCAGCAAGGAGGTCTCCTTACTGTCCTTATACAGATAAGGAGATCAGCACACAGGGAGTTCTCAAAAGCCTCACGGCCTGGGTGGAACCAGAGCCAAACCCAAGTGTTTTTTCTTTTTTATTGTACTTTAGATTAAGGTTTACAGAGCAAATTAGTTTCTCGTTAAACAGTTAATACACATATTGTTTTGTGACATTGGTTGCCAACGCCATGATATGTCAATACTCTTCCATTCTTGACCTTGGGTTCCCCGTTACCAGCTTTCCTGTCCCCTCCTGACTTCTCATCCTTGCCCCTGGGCTGGTGTGCTCATTTAGTCTCCTTATTGTTTTATGGGCCTGTCTAATCTTTGGCTGAAGGGTGAACCTCAGGAGTGACTACATACTGAGTTAAAAGGGTGTCCTTGGGTTTTCTGCTATCTCTGTTAGACCAGTAATTCTGGTCTTTTTTTGGAGTTAGAACTTTGTTCTACGTTTTTCTCCACCTCTGTCCGGGGCCCTCTGTTGTGATCCCTTTCAAAGCAATCAGTGGTGGTAGCCAGGCTCCATCTAGTAATGCTGGACTCAGTCTGGTAGAAGCTGTGGTAGTTGTGGTCCATTGGTCCTTTGAACTAATCTTTCCCTTGTGTCTTTGGTTTTATTCATTCTCCCTTGTTCCAGACAGGGTGGGACCAATGGAGTATCTTAGGTGGCCGCTCATAAGAGCTTTTAAGACCCCAGATGCTACTCACCAAAATAGGATGTAGAACATTTTCTTTGTAAACTGTGTTATGCCAGTCGAGCTAGATGTCCTCCAAGACCATGGTCCCCAGCTGAGGCAAATATCATAAGCGAACAGCTTGATAGATTTCCACACACTGAACCCACCCATGTAACAAGATCTGGAGACATTTTTGGTGTTCACAGCTAGGGGGCGCTACTGGCATCTCATGGGTGCAGGCCAGGGAAGCTCCTAAATATCCTGTGAAGCACAGGACAGGCCTTTACAACAAAGAATTAGTTGGTCCAAACTGTCAGTAGTGCTGAGGTCAAGAAACCCTGCTGAGATTAATTTTGCCTAAAAGCCGAGATGTATAACTCCTTGTCCAATGTTCTTCATTCTCTACTGCCTCTCTTGGTCAGTCCTTCAGGCATTTTTCTCTGTTTTCCCTAAGTAACATTTAGGGTAGCGAACATGACTAGCAGCCTAGTCTAACAATTATTCTTACAATGTCAATGTTTTAAAAATATTCTTAAATTTAGAAAATCTGTGATAAATCAGAGGAGCCCTCACCCTGCTTACACATCACTGGGTAATAGAAGAAATCAGAGATGCAATCAAAAAATTCCTAGAATCAAATGAGAATGAAAACACATCATACACCGCAAAGGCAGTCCTCAGAGGACAATTTATAGCAGTAGATGCACACATCAAAAAAGAAGAAAGGCACAAAATCAAAACATTAACTACAGAACTCCAACAAATAGAGAACAGCAAAAAAAGCCCACAGCCACTAGAAGAAAGGAAGTAATAAAGATCAGAGTAGAAATAAATGAAGTAGAGAATAGAAAAACAATAGAAAGAATCAACAAATCCAAAAGTTGGTTCTTTGAAAGGATCAACAAAATCGACAAACCACCAGCCGGACTGACAAAAGAAAAACAGGAGAGGATGCAAATAACCCAAATAAGAAATGAAATGGGGGACATTACAACAGACCCAGCTGAAATAAAAAGGATCATAACAGAGTATTGTGAAAAACTATAACAAATTTGAAAACCTAGAGGAAATGAGTAAATTCTAGAAACACACTGCCTACCCAAACTAACACCAAGTGATGTTGAAAATCTGAACAGAACCATAACAAGAGAAGAGATTGAAAAGGTAATTAAAAAACTCCCAACAAAAAAAAAGCCCTGGCCCAGATGGCTTCACTGGAGAATTCTACCAAACATTCAGAGAAGAGCTTATGCTAGTATTACTCAAACTATTTCAGAACACAGAAAGGAAGGGATACTTCTGAATTCATTTTATGAAGCCTGCATAACCCTGATACCAAAACCAGGCAAAGATGCCACAAAAAAAGAAAATAACAGACCAATATCTCTCATGAATACAGCTGCAAAAATTCTCAACAAAATTCTTGCCAGTAGAATTCAGCATCATAGCAAAAAAATAATACACCATGACCAAGTAGGATTCATACCAGGTATGGAAGGATGGTTCAGCATTAGAAAATCAATCAACATAATCCACCACATAAATAAAAGGAAAGAGAATCACATGATCATTTCAGTTGATGCAGAAAAGGCATTTGACAAAGCCCAACACCCATTCCTGATAAAAAAATACTCTCCATAAAATAGATACAGAAGTGAAATTTCTCAACATAGTAAAGGGCATCTATGTAAAACCAGTGGCCAACATCATTCTTAATGGAGAGAGGCTGAAAACATTCCCCTTGAGAACAGGAACAAGAGAGGATGCCCTTTATCTCCACTCCAATTTAACATTGTGCTGGAAGTCCTAGCTAGAGCCGTAAGGTAAGAAAAAGAAATAAAGGGTACCCAAATTGGTAATGAAGAAGATAAACTACCCTGTTTGCAGATGATATGATACTATACATAGAAAACCCTGAAGACTGCACAAGAAAACTACTGCAACTAATAGATTCAGCAGAGTAGCAGGATACAAGATAAACATACAAAAATCAGTTGGATTCCTGTACACCAATAAAGAGAAAATGAAAATGAAATCAAGAAAACAATACCATTTATAATAGCCCCTAAAAAAATAAAATACTTAGGAATAAATCTAACCAGGGATGTAAAAGATAACTGCAAAACACTACTGCAAGAAACCAAAAGGCATCTACATAAATGGAAAAACATCCCCTGCTCATGGATAGG